TTTATTGTATGAAAACTAAAAACAAATATAATCTTCGAATTAATAACAATCTTATTGCCCCTTTTTGTCGTAAAAACAAAAACCAGTTTTTTGTTTCTTATCGAGGTCCTTGTCTCTGGAACAGAATAGTCTTACCAAATTTTAATTTTTCCACCCAACTGACTTTTGCTTCATTCAAACAGAAACTTAAAAAAATTATATTTTCAGTTGAAAATATCTTGATTTATCTTTAATTGCTTTTTTTGTTGTTGTTGTTGTTTTATTTTGTATATTGTTTGGTTTAACATTTTATCTTGGCTTTTAAACATTTTATATTTGTTTTTAAATATTTTTGTATAAAGGTGTATTATTATTATTTCACTACGGACATTGTATTTTTATTAAAAATTACCTATGTATTGTAAAGAGCTTCATGACAAGACCCTTATGATCTTCTAGAGGTCCTGTTGTTACTAATGTAAAAATTGTAAAATATATTTAGTTATTGTAATATTAAACGGCAAAATATTAAATATATATATATATATATATATATATATATATATATATATACATATATATATATATATATATATATATATATATATATATATATATATATATATATATATATATATATATATATATATATATATATATATATATATATATATATGTATATATATATAGACATTGTCTCATGAAGTGAACCCCATGTCGTTTGAGTTGTAGTGTCAAATAAAAAAAACTAGAAGACATCATCTAAAAATGACTAGAGAATTTTTTCAAAATTGCAAGCATAGGCACCAGTTTTTTATAAATTCAATAGTGAATCATTGGAATGCATTCTAATGCTAGAGGTTGTATGCGCTTCATCTGTTTCAAGGTTCAGCTCGATGCGGAAATTTCAAATAATCCGCATAAGTATCGAGATAATAACTAAAAAAAAAAAAAAAAACAATAAGGTACAAACTTATACTTCATAAAATAATAACAATAATAAAAAAAAAAAAAAAAGATGAGGCTGCTAAAACCCGTAGGTTATACATAAAAACCTCTTGCAGCATTTTTCAACTGCTACTACTACTACTACTACTACTACTACTACTACTACTACTACTACTACTACTACTACTACTACTACTACTACTACTACTACTACTACTACTACTACTACTACTACTACTACTACTACTACAACTATATATCTTCATAAACTATATAGCTATGGAGAGATTATAATGGAGACCAGCACATCAATCATGTCATTAAAGCTATTAAGTATTACATGAAAAAGTCAATAATAGATTTTTGTACTTCCAAGAACCAACAATGGTTTTTGTGGTTAGGAGAAAGTTAGGTAGCACCGAAAAAAACCAAAAGATTGAGATATAATGTATGTTTAATGAGGTTTTTTGGGCCAAGAATTTCATTTTTAGTCTTCAATTAAATTTTAGAGTGGTCATGATCACACAAGTGGTTGTTTTAGGGGTTGTCATGGGAGGTCATGGGGTGTCTCAATGGCTTTTAAATAAGATGGGACATTTTGTATATCTAAATATAAGTAACTGCGGTCAGGGAATTCAAATCTGAGCATAATTGTTCTTTAGAAAGTTCAAGAGTGGTCCTGAGATGTTCCAATTTTTTCAATTAGAAGGGACATGTTGTATGTTTAAATATAGATAATTGCGGTCAGCTAATTAGAAACTAGGCATATTTGGTATTCACGAGTGGTCATGACCGCTCAGGTGATCATTTTAGGGGTAGTAAAGGTGGTCCTAAAATCTTGATGGCTTTTCATTTAAATGGTACATGTATGTCTAAACATAGATAATTGATATTAGGAAAACAAATCTGGCCATATTTTGTTTCCAGGAGTGGTTATGATTGCACAGGTAGGTGTGGTCATAGGTTGTCAAGATACTTTCGTAATTTTTATTTATTTTATGTACTTAATTTCAATAATGTTGTAAATATAAACAGTTAATATTTAATAAAATTGAACTTTGTTAATATATATATTTTTTAACATATATATAAGAATCTAGGTGATGACATACATCATACATTAGTACATCATAGGCCTCTAAGTCTCCTGAGGTAGATTGGAGTCTTTGATTTTTGCCTGCACAAACGAGAAATTAAAAAATCTTTTTTTCTTGTAAACAAACTAATTTCTCTTTACTAAACTAAACTCTTCTTTTTACATAAATAAAATCTTTTTGCATACATAAATATAAATAATAAAAATTCTCTTTACAAGATTTAAATCATTAAAACTGTTTTTTATGCACTTTAAAGCAAAGTCTACGATTGGATGTCATAATATTTTACTGTTGATTTGTATAAAAATCAGAGTTTATTTTTAGAAAGTGTGATCAAAATCCACTTTAACAATATTATTTATCTTAACAACGCCGTAGCAACCGCAAACCTATCTATTGTTTATTATATGTTGAAGAAGATCTGCAAGTTTAGTTCTCTTTTTAATTTGTCTATCATGCTTTTTGTTTATTTATCT